CAGAAGGTTCACAAAAGGGAAAATACTTTCTAGCACCCATGTATTACCATCTTCACTACATTAATTTTCACCTTTTTAAAGGAGTTTTTAGCTATTATATTGCATTATCATTTTATCAGTGATCATTTTTGTGCCTGCGCTTCCTATAAAAGTTACAGGGAAATGAAAAAGCAACTGTGGCATTACATAAGAACTTAGGCAAGTTTAACTGTGAAAAAGTAATTTAGTTAAGAATATTCATTTGTCCTTCCTACCATTAAAGATGTACAGAACATTCGCCCAGGGCAAGGCACTGTGCTGGGGCCGAGGACAGAGTGAGGAGTGAAAAACAGTCTGCAGCCCCTATGAAATGTATTTGAAATGGTATTTAATCTCTGCTCACAGTCACCAATATAAATACGCTAAAGCAGTAAGGCAGTCCTTGAAATTCTACGGCAACAATAAAAAGCTAACTTTCCCAAAAGGTAACAATAACCAAGTACAATAGCCCAGACCCCAAAGTCCGAAAGCGAAAGCAAGCGCTCATGGATTCCTGTCTTCCTCAGTCTCCCCCACTCATCCGCCCTCCTACTTCCAGCCTCCTCACCACAGGGCCCCTCCTCCCTCTGAATGGTTCCCCTCTTGGGTGGTTCCCCCATCCCGCCCATACCGATGCTCTTAGAGTCAGGATAGGCTAGTTTATGCTGCAGTAACAAACAACCCACAAAATGTCAGTGGCTTAAGGAGGCTTATTTCTTGCTCATGCCATGTGCCAGCAGTGTGCTCTTGGGCACATGATTTACCTTCTCTGGCCCTCCGTTCCCCCGTCTGCAAAATGGAGGCAACCACAAGAGAAGTCCGAGCAAGGCGCTCCAGAGCAGTGACTATCGGCCCTCTGCTGCTCTTCCCCGGAGGCTCTGCCGGGCCCCGTCTTCACGAGCAGCCACCGGGCGTTCTGCTCCCATCTGGCCGCACCACGCCGCGCCACAGCTGTCTCACCATGGAAGCTACTGGAGCATAAGGAGAGCTCCTGACTCCATTGTTGAAACCCAGAGCTTAACAGAGTCTGGCAAATGGTAGACCCTAAGGAGGTGTCTGCTAAGCTAAAGGGAAGAATGTGGAATGATCACCCCTGTTGCTTGAATAAACCCCATGGGAGCTGGGTGTACACACACACACACACACACACACTCTCTCTCTCTCTCTCTCTCTCTCTCTCTCTCTCTCTCTCAGAGGCGCTGGCCTTCAAGGAGACTGACGGAGAGCACGTGACTGCAGTCGGAACGTCGCCTGCAGATGGCCAAGCCTTGCTGTTACCCGTAAGGGTCCTGAGTCAGGCCTGGACGGAGCCAGGACCTCCAGGACCCACTCCGGCTCCCAGGGAAGTCCAAGCACAGGAATGCAGTGGATCAGCACACAACCATCTCCACCTCGGAGAAGAATGCGACCCGGCGCCACCCGTTCCTCATTCCTCTCCAAGGCCACCAGCCCCGCACAGGGTATGCTGTGGGGCAGCCCTGAGGGGCAGCTTACTGAAATGAAACTGTTCTACAGACCTTGACTGGGCGATAGCCACACAGGTACAGGCACATGTGGGAACTTACCGAAACATCAAGAATCTGTGCATCTTATTGTATATAATTGGGGGGGGAGGTGTGCAAGCCACGGACACTACCAACTGCTCTATACACCTTCGGTCTCCTCGGTGCCTACGAAGGAGGAGGGGAGGCACGGTGACCAGTGTGTGAACAGTTAGGTGGCCCGGCCTCTGCGACATTACTGACTGCTACTCCCCCCCGGAACGTCTGCAGCGCCACCTCCCCGGGAAGCCCTCCTTCAAGCTTCACATGGCCACGTGAAGAGGGGACCCTCTGCCTGTCCCGCCTGTCACCTCCATCATGAAAACACACTTTCCAGACGGCACCACACTCACTGGCGGGCACCTCCTCCAGGCCCCGCCGTTCCGCTCACGCCTTCCCTCCAGCACTGAGAGGTGCGGGCACAGTGGGCACAGTGTGCGTTTCTCGGGGTGGTTTTCAGGCTACCGACAAAGACATGAAATCCACCGCCTGCAGAGCAGCTCAGTTCCATCAAGTCTGAGGCACTTTGTGAAGGCTCAGTCTCCTCTTTCTTTCTTGGAGCCGTGCAAACGTGCGGTCCTGATGTATTCTAAGTCCATAAAAGCCACGTATTTGCCGGCCCTCGATGTGCAGCATACAGACCACGCCACTGGCCCCCAAGCACAGCTCCCGCACTCTGCCCGCGTGAGGGCACACAGGCCGGTGCGTGCTCACACGAACACTCGGCAGCCCCCAAACAACATCTCACAGGTCACTTTCCGAGCATGACACGCTGCGCCAAGCCAGCATCTCCAGGCTGTGGACGGTGCAACACAGCAGAAGCAGCCGGAAACTGGTGTGATGCTCCGCAGGAACTCAGGCTTTTCAAGGTCTGTAATTGGAATCTAATGTTTGGACCAGAAATCCTGACGTACAACCCTACATGGAGATACCTCCAGCCCCGAGTATGTGAGCTCAGTGAGGTGAGGCTGACTGGCTTCTCCGAGCCCCGACACGATCTGAAATGGCTGGAGCCTGCATTCGGCCTGAGGACCCCGCCAGCGTGTGTGCTGTGCTGACACTTGGCGGTTCGGGTACCCTCGCTGGCAACAACCCGTCTGGAACCAGGTGGACCCACTTGCAGATGAGGGAGCCAAGGCCAGGCAGGAGCACCGGCAGCTCAGGGAGATGAGGGAGTGGTGTGTGTGTGTGTGGGGGGGGGGGTGGGGGTGGGGGCAGGATGCATCAGGGGTCCCCTCACCGCCACGCGGCCTTCCCGACGCCACTGCTCTGTCACAAACAGCTAAGCCGGTCTCTGCTGCACCAGCTCTGCAGCACCGACTCTGGTGAATCTGTGCATCTCACACAAAGGCTCAACTCTGTGTCTTCATCTTTTTACAAATTTAAATAAAATTACTAAACAGTATACACAGACATCTAACAAATGCCCAGTTAGTAAAAAATGTAGCCTCCGTGAGTATGACTGATAGGAGAAAGTGTACCAGTGCTTAATTTTCTAAGAAATCCAAGCTAAATTGTTTACAAAAAGTACAAAAGAGAATAATGCATAAAAGAGAATAAAATACCAGTTACTTTACATGAGAATTCTAAGCACAATTGGATGGCAAGGTTCATAGAGTAAAAGCCCTTGAACCCTGTGCCCCACCTTTAGCCACGCTGCCCAGTGCTCGCTCTCCTGAAACTACTGGCAGTGCTTTCAAGACTAAACACAGCTCTACCCGAAGGAGAACCGGGAAGGGCACACGGGTGGACATCCACGCCTCCCTTTCGAACATTCTCCAAGGACCCCCAAGGGGAACAACACAACTCTAAATGGGAGGACACAGGCCCGCCCCCCAGTCTCGGGCTCTGTCCCAGGTCACAGCAGCATGCTTCCTGGGCCTCTCCTAGCGCAGCTGCTGGAGCTGCGGGGGAAACAGAGGCAGCATCCCAGCGGGCAGTGGAGGGCCCGCCGCAGCGCCTCCGTGGCACGGAACAGAGCAGCTGGCACTCCCCTGTGGGCACTGAAGCTCTGAGATGTTGGGTAGGGGCTGGGGAAGGAGGGTGAAGCTGAAAGTTGCCAGGGTTGAAATTCCAGCAGGCAAGACACGCCCGCAGCAGCCTTGCTCCCAGAGGCCTGCCAGTCTGATTCTTCCTGTCAACACCCCCCACCCACCGCCCTGCTCAGCCGCCCCAGCCTCCTCCTCTGCACCCCCAACCCCCAGGCTGTCCGCTCTGGAGCGCAGGTGTAGACCAAAGTCATTCCTTGCCACAGAAAGGAGGCGGGCTCCGCTTTAGAGAGCGCCTGAAGCGTGTTCGTCTTAGGGTGGCCCTCGCCTCTGCTCTCAGGCACTGACAGGGGTGGGGGTGGGGTCGAATTAAAAGAAGGAAACTCAGCTCCAAGCCCCACCTCTGCCACAGAAATGATTTATTTTTTAAGTTACCTGTTGGATTTTTCCAGTGGGTAAATCCAACACTGCCCTGAATCCTACCGAGTCAATAGCAATGAATCATCCCCAGAAATTAGTCTCACGTTAAACCAATTATTCAAATGCCGGAGAGAAACAGGAGCTGAGAGCCACATGGGGAAGGATTTGTAACATAAGAGGCACAACAACACAAACAGTTCAGCCACAAAAGGACAACGGAACCCCCCCCCCCCACACACACACACACACACACAGTCGCTGCTGATGCCACTAGCAGAGGGCCCGCCGAGGGCCCGCCCGGAACGCGGCCCAAAGGCCTCCCAGAAACTTCAGTCACACAAATCCTGGAAATAGCCTTTAAGAAGGTCGTCACAGCTCTATTGCTATTTTCTTTTAATGACAACAGTCTACTGTTTTTAATTAAAGAACATCTACTCTCTGCTTATATGTGTATATATATTTGAAAATGTCAGTCAAGGCTGCACAGAATATTAGTTACTTATAAACAGCCTGGTTAAGCAGAGAACCCTAAAAACCGCCTGTATGTGCGCACCTGAAAGGCTGATGCGGACATCCCGCCCGCTTTCACGTGCCACACAGAAACCGAATCTGCGATCCTCGCTAGAAAGCTGGAGGGAGCCTTCGTGCCTGTGGCTGCCACGTTCCCGAGGAGTATCACCCGGGCCTGGCCGACACCGCGTGTGGCCCAGCAGGGAGAGAGGAGCCGGCGCTGGGAAGCCACGGAGCCTGGGCAGGAGCCAGGCCTCCTGGTTCCTACGTGGCTCTCCCCCTGACTGGCTGTGTGTGATCTTGGGCAAATTATTTAACCCTGATGGGCCTCAGTGTACAAATCTGTAAGATGGGGATAATAACACTACCCACTCTAGGAAACACACCATGTACGCAGAGGGCTCCAACGCCGTCCCACAGTCAGCCCGCACAGGCCTCTCCTGTGACTATTCATTTTAGATGCAATTTATCAGTCATTCATTTTAGACGTAGACCCTTTCCAGGGTCTTAAGTTTTTTTTTTGTTTTTTTTTAAAGGACAATTCACACTTTATTTGTATCTGCCTTTGACATGTACAAAAACTCTCAGCTCCCCACCCCCCATCTGGGGAACAAACAGTAGGTTCTGGAGGGAGAAGGTATAAGAATGAGGTTTTGAAGTTCAATAGAAGGTCCTGTTACCCTGAGTAAAGGGCATCCAGATAGGCTGAAACTTGGCTGTCCTCCCTTCCCGCCAGCCCATCTGTGAATCTACTGGGCCCTCCTCCTTGAAGCAGCTTCCCCTCCTTCCCCCATGGACTGGCCATGGAAGGAGAACCAACCCCTTCTCTTCAGTGTTTCAACTTCTTGTCCTACTATTGCCATCCTTGAGATTCTATTCCTGGAGAGAGAACACCAATGCCCATCACTTCTCTCACCTAACTCCCATAAGCCTCCCCCTAACTCAGGGTGCTCAACACAGACTCCTAAGAACGGAGTGCCCCAGTGACCTCACAGCTGGCTGGGTCTGAGAGCAGGACAGTAGGCATGAGTGCTTATCTGTGTATAGCAGAGTTGGTGGTGCCATTGTGGCAAGATGTGAGGAGGCACAGGGCTTCTGGGTGTGCCCGAAAGAGGGGGAAGAGAGCCCCAGGAAACCAAGGATAGGGGCTTATTTATCAAAGAAGTCAACATGGGCTCCAGACTTGAACATATCTTTCTGAAGCAAGTTTAGCAGTTTCTGGGCCGACATCTTACAATCCACCAGCTCCCCCTTTGTCTTCAGCTCCTGCAGCCATTTCCGCAAGTCTGGGTCCACAGAGGTCTCCCGGGCCACCTGCTGCATGTCTGTGTCCAGGGGCCCTGGAGCATAGCTCAGCACCCTCACACCAGGCTCCTCTGAGGCCAGCACCTTGAACATCATCTCACGGGCAGCCTTCCCCACACAGTACAGCGTCCAGCCCTTGAAGGGCTGCAGAGCACAGAGGGAAGAGATGTTAACCACAGTCCTGCTGAGGCCAGGACTGTCCGGGAAGGCCCTCAGGATGCAGGAAGTCAGGCAGAGCATGGAGGTTAAGTTCAGAGCCCAGTAGCTGTTCATTTCAGCAGCATCAGCCAGGTTGACGAAGCCTTTGTACACATCCCCAAGCGTGCCTGCATTGTTGATCAGCAGCACCCGCTGCAGCCCCTCGGGCCTGGGCAGCGCACGCACGGCGTCGAGGAGCCGCTGCAGGCCGGCCTCGGCGCCCAGGTTGGCGGGCACCCGCACCACGCGCGGCCCGGGCCGCCCGGCGCCCAGCTCGGCCCAGGGTCTTAAGTTTGACAATTTCCATTTTTTCGATCTAAATAAGTGGCCCAGATAACTGGTGCCTTTTCTCCAATGTAGATAAGCACCCACTACTGGCAGCATGACCCGTGGGAGCAAGTACGTGGCTCCAGGACTGACAGCGCATGGGCCTCGCCAGGAGGCAGGCCGGGGCTCTCACCATCTCACCACGTTGGCTCTCAGGGAAAGACCAAAGTGTGCCACATAAACATGGACACATTGAAATGTTCCCTCCGTGTCCTGCACTTTCACACAGATCTGACTGAGGACAATGACAGGTTAATAGTGCGATTGTTCGTGTGATGGAAAACAGGGGGGCTGGGCGGGGCGTGGAGGAAGAACCAGCCCCTGTGCCCACGCGGGGCAGCGCACCTGCCCACAGCGGCCCAGGGGGTCTCCGCTCCGCGGGCTGCGTGGCCAGCAGGCCCCGCGCCCGAGGAGAGCCAGCGGGGCTTGTGCTCGCAGGCGGAGAGGCCTGCAGGGACCCACCTTCCCCTCTTGGCTCTCACCCCCGGGTGCTGCCTGCTCTTGGCCCGAGGCTCTGCCCTCAGAGCCGGAGACATCACACTGAGAAGAATCACTGCTGGAGGACGCCCTGGTGTAAGGAAAAGACTGGAATTTAAACTTTCTTTTCCCCCAAATGAAAATCCCCCCTCCACTCCGCTGAAGGTGAGAGCGTGAGTAGCTGGGAGCAGGCAGTCGGGAGGGGACTCACTGTAAACCCGGGCCCCGCTCAGCTGTCTCCCAGCAGCTCTGCTGACAGGACTCACTTTTGTGCCTCAGCCCTGCAGGGCGCAGGGGACCCGGGTGTCACCCTGCCAATGGGCAGCCTTTGCATCACCCAGGATGACAGGAAGGAAACACCAGAATGGACAGGAGTGGAGGTATCTGGGAACCAGCCAGGACAGCCCCTGAGGGCAGGGCTTTAGGATCCTGTGGGGTACAAGCCCGGACGGTGGCCTTCAGCCTGCCAAGGCCCCACTGCAGGCTGCCACTTCCCAAAACCCGGTCCACGGCTTTAACGAGGCTGTGGCTGCCCGGGACCTGAGTGGGGGCCGCAGGTACCACGGCCACAAGCAGGTAACCGAGTCCACGTACACTGTCGCTGTGTGCCAGAGTCCTGGTCAAGAAATGACATTAACATAAAAACTGGGCTCCTAGGACCCAGTCTAGCCCCGGGCCTATGGCCCTGCTGGGAAAATGGTCCCCAGGCAGAAATCACTGGGAGGAAGAACCACAGAGAGAGGAGGAGGAGGGGAGAGGGTGGGGTGGGGAGAAAAATAACACCCCAAGGACTAGAAATAATGAAAACCAGCTGAAAGAGGGAGTGAGGCTAAAGACAGGCACAGACCGTGCAGTGAGGGGCAGCGGATGTGCAGTGAGGGGCAGCGGATGTGCAGTGAAGGGCAGCGGATGTGCAGTGAGGGGCAGCGGACGGGAGGAAGCAGTCGGGATCGTTTTGAGATGAAAGATGCTCTACTGCATCTCCTCACTCGAAACTCCTTCCCTGGAGTTCAGAGCCCATCAGTGCAGCCGACACAGCCCCGCTCCCCAGCCTTGTGCCCTACCTGCCCCTATGCACCCCCACCTCCCACCGCAGGTCCCAGGAAGTCCAGCACACAGCGGTGACCCCGCCCCTGCTCCCGGCTGCACTGTCTGCAAGGCTGGCCTCTCCCGCCACGGCCGGCCTCTCTCCTTCATCCTTTAAAAACTAGGTCCTAGAGCAGTGGTTCTCAACCTTCCTAATGCCTCGACCCTTTAATACAGTTCCTCATGTTGTGGTGACCCCCAATTTCATTGTGACAAATTGAACATAATTAAAGCATAGTGATTAATCACAAAAACAATATGTGATTATATGTGTGTTTTCCAATGGTCTTAGGCAACCCCTGTGAAAGGGTCTCGACCCACAGGTTGAGAACCGCTGCCCTAGAGGCTCTCCGTGAAGGTCCCCAGGGAGTCACTCACACCAGGCACTTAGCGCTGCTACCGAGTACTTTTCACACCCGCTTGTTCTGCTCCATGAGACGGACCATCCTTCTTACACCTGCCCGCCCCCGCCCCTGGGAACTCTGGAGCAGCCTAGGGCAGACCCCTTTCCATTCCAGTGTCTGCAGCCCGGCTGGTGCCCAGCAGACGCAGACAGATTCGAGGAGCTGGACTGGGAGCTCTGAGCGCTGTGCCAAGCAGCACGCTCATTCCTACTGGAGTTAAAATCGCCCCGACTTTAACTGCAGCACAGCAGCAGATTGAAATTCAAACTGAAAGCCACAGCTTGAGACTAAATCTCACTCTTGGTCCCTTAGGATGTGATGGGTATGAAATTAAACTCTATCAGAACAAGAAACACAAGAGGCTTTTGGGGGGAGTGGGGGGCAGAAGGGGAGGGAGAGCGACTTCTGATGCTGATGGAAAAAAGTCTTTTATTGGAATGAGACTTTGATCCTCTTAATTTTCAGTGCTGCCAGGGAAAACACACACACAACTAAATATGCTAGAGATCAAACTGTTTCAGATGTGTGACAGGCAGGTCCACTTCATTTTCTTTGAAAAGGAGAGAACTCTCCAGCACATGAAACAGGAGCACTTTCCTCATTTAACCAAAGAAATGAGCCCGGGGAGACAGGAAGACATTTCACAGTGTCAAAGCACTCGCGGAGCCTTCAGCACACACGCGCTCAGCAAAGCCAGGCGCCCAAATCGGAACACCTGACCGTAAGGGTCGAATTCAAACTGGTCCTTTAAAGGGGGAAACAGTGCTATGGCCTGTGTATTTTCTCCTCTCCTAATATCTCTCTCTCTCTCTCTCTCTCTCTCTCTCTCTCTCTCTCTCTCCCTCTCCTAATCTCTCTCTCACACACACACACACACACCACCACCACCACCACCACCACTTACCATCCCCATCTCAGCTATTGTTTGTTAGCAGATCTTATGTTAATGTTTTAGTTTCTAACATCTTTCAATTAAAAATCTAATTAAAGTTATAACTGTTAAAGCCCAGGCCTTGGCCAAGGAAGGTGCACTACTATGAAAGCAAAATAGAGAATTCCTTCAGTCACCAATGAACCAAGCAGTTCTCTTCCGATCACAGTGAAAAGCAGGAATTCTAGACGAGTCCCTTTCCCTTTTTATTAGTATCTTCTTGTTATTATTAAATTGATTCACATTCACTATAAAGACTGCAAAAAGCATATGGAAAAAACACGCCCACCCTAACGTTACCAGCCAGAGATCACTGCTAATACTATGACAGCGTTTCCTTCGCTCATTCCGCCATGCACCCAGGTATCTGCGGACCTTAATAAACATGTAACACAGACACGAGGGCTTGAAGTAGGCTTCTAGGCCGCGTGCTGTGCCCGGCTCTGAACTCCCCTGCCCGTGGCACCGTGAGCGTGGAAGCCGCACAGTAAGTGCCCCTGAAACAGGGCTTTACTGGGTGCAGATCCTGCTGCCATAACTGGAAACATTTCCAACCCGGGAAACGAGGCTGAGGTCAGCGTAACCATCACGGACTGGACTGCGTGCTGGGCACGTCTTACACCCTGACCTCATGTGCGCCTCACCCACTTGGCCATGACGACTAAAATGACTGTTTTGGGTTGAGTAAACTGAGTCACGGAGAGGCTAACTAATCTGCTCAAGGTCACCCAGCTATTATTCAACAGAACCTAGGTTTAAACCTATTTGGGCTGATTTAAGCCCAAGTCCCCCATTTATTTATAGTCAAATCTATGATAATCCTTTTTTAAAATATGTTTTTATTGATTTCGGAGAGGAAGGAAGAGGGAGGGAGAGATAGAAACATCAGTGATGAGAGAGAATCATTGATTGGCTGCCTCCTGCTCGCCCCCTACTGGGGATCGAGCCCACAACCTGGGCATGTGCCCTCGACTGGAATCGAACCTGGGACCCTTCAGTCCACAGGCCAACACTCTATCATGAGTCAAACCAGCTGGAGCATCCTTATTATTTCTAACTTATAAAACATTCTTGCTTATTCTGAAAAACCGATTAATGCTGTTACAGATTTCTGGCTCCATCTTTAACGTGCTGTTCTGACTCAGCCCCTGGGTTCTGTTGGTCTGTGGCGGGCGAGGCGAGCCTTCCCGTCACCAGCTACTCTCCCACTCACTTGGTAACCAGCTCCTTTTCTCCGGATCCCGGGCCACCCTATCATGTTAGCTTCTCCGGGGCCTGTTTCTCCTCCACTAGCCTATACTCTTCTGTGCATCGTCGACTGCTTAATTTTAAAAAATACTTTAATACGGTTAAAGCAATTCCCCAATTCTTTTCATTTTTCCAAATTTCTGGGTTTTTTTCCTTCAGTAGATTTTGGCAGCTCTAGCAATAAACAAATACATGAGTCTGAAAACAACTAACACCTTTACAAGACTCTGCATTCCCATCGGGACAGATGCAGCGCTCGGTGATGGGGCCCGCCTGTCTCGGGTGCTTCCTGCTGTGGATCCGGGACATAGTCATTGTCCCTGTTAAACAAACGCCACCGAAGCGCCTGTTGTCCACCGCTCCCCACGCGGCACAGGAAAGGGCACCGAGCGCAGCTAAGAAAGGGCTTCCAGGCCCTGACGACCTGCTCGGTCGCCAGGGCCCAGGGACTCCGCGCTTCCTCTGGGCATCGAGGAGCCGTGACTGTGCTTCTCAGAAATGTGCACGCCCCTGAGATGTTCCCTCCAGGAAGTCGGAGGATCCACCTAGAAGGCTCAGACCAGAGACAGCCCAGCAAGAACTAAGATACAATCTCTGTCAAGAACGACTTCTCCGTCGGTCCCGCGCGTGCGCCGCTTTTACAAAAAGGTGTCCGTCCGCTCTAAGAACTCAACCAAAGTCGGTCAAAGCTCTCCAAGGGCAAGCCTCGAGCGTCTGCTCTGGGTGAATGTGGACACTACAGGGAAAGCCGGGGCTCTAGAGTCAGCATCCAGCCGGATGTCGCTTCCCGACAAGGAACTTGAGCTCTTTGGAAGGCTCCCGGTTCACCCGTGGGAATGGGGGGCCTC